ATTCGGGTTTTAGAAACCAACAAGATTTTCCCAAATGTTCCCCAGAATTTCCTTCTTGCCACCAACACATGTAGTTGACCATGAGAATATTTCCCCACACTGCCCAATAGGTCAGCTGCTTCAAAGAGAGTCATGTAAGCTCACCTGGTAGTTCCACTGACTTTGAAGAGACGATCCACAAGTCATCTCGAATCTTCTGTCGCAAAATAGCGTACACGCAGTCTCGACCTCCCACATTCATCATTCCTAAAGCACAAAAGAAAGAATCTCAATCTACCTACTCGGGGCGAAGTCGAACGAATTGACGAATAATGAATTGAGACATAGGCGTACGAATCAAACAGGAGACGCCCAGCCGATGTAATTCCTCGTTCGACCCTACTGTGTTTTCCGCAGAGGAATCGCGAGGATTCTCTACTACCTTTGAATGCACCATAGTGAAGATCAAGTCTTCTATCAGGCTCATCAATGATAGCCTTCCTCAATAGTCTGCCTGCATATAGAGCACTTTCCTCTCGTTATCAATCTCGCTCGTCCAGTTCTACCTTCGGCAGTTTGATTGTCGAACTTCTTCCTCGCGGCCGGATCCATCAGTAGATCCAGCAGGTCTTGTAATTCGACTTCACCGCACCCGAATGATCGGTAGCCCATCACCACCTAAGATCACGCTCTACCGCCTACAAATTGCAAATACTTCACACTACTTGCGGGGCATCGCTCGTCTGTGGTACGACCATCAACACCACTGGACCGACCTTGCCATTAGGCTTGAACTCTCCCATACCCTCTGGGGAAAGATAATAGAGAATCTTCTTTTGTGATTCCATCGCGGCGTTCAACAGTTTCTGGAAGAGATGGAAACTCATCATTTAAAATCAAGCGATAGATCTCACCTGAGTGGCGGGGTCCAAAGTGGGGATAGCAGGCAGCACTTTCGGCGTTACCTACGAGTCACCAAACTCTCCCAAACATGAACCACGTAAGCAGCATATGTCAACTAGAAATCCAATCCCGAGATGCACTCACCACTTCTCCATTTTTGAGCTGTGATTCAGAAGTCGCTGAAACACAGTCTGCGAAATCCTCACTTCGCCACGATT